GCATTTGATAAAGTCCCCCAGGACCTTTCCTGGCTTTCCAGGAACCACTGGGGATGCAGGGCCACAGCTCTTGCTAACTGGGGTTATCGTAGTGCCTAGTTTATGGTGGATGCCCAGTCAACTGTCAATAAGGTCAAAAATACATATAAAGGAGCCAGGTGCAGGGGTGCATGCCTGTCATCCCAGCAGCCTGGGAGGCTGAGTCAGGAGGATCCAAGTTTGAGGCTAGCCTCAACAATTTAGTGAGGCCCTGTCCCTAAATAAAACATAAAAAGGGCTGGGGATGTGGCTCAGGTGTAAAGCACCTCTGGGTTCAATCCCCAGGGCCTTCCCAACCCCCTCAAAGAAGAGACTCGGGTGACAACACTTCCCGATCCCCTGACTTTTCCACTGGAAAGAAGGGCCACGCACACACAGCACGCAGGCCTGGCTCGGTGCACAGATGGCCAGTGAGCAGCACCTAGCTCAGCACCCAGCGCTTAAGCTCTCCACCCATGGAGCCAGAGCCTGGGGCCAAGACACCTCTCCCAGGGGCGGGGATGATAAAACCCGAACCAGCAACAGCAAGTGAGCCGCTGGCGGGAAGCTGGGGTCAGCCCTGTCCTCGGGAGCCAGGGGCACACGCTCAGCCTGGGCTCGGCCTCCAAGGTGACCAGGTAGGAGGCTACCAGGCGGGCTTCCTTTCGGAGGCCCCAGTTCAGACACCAAGTCGGGGTCCTGAGCACACCCTGTTCGCGCTCCGGTCACCAGAGCAGCCTCTGAAGCCATCGCCTGGGTGGTCAGCTGGAACCAGAGCTCCAGGGGCAGAGAACCCGACCAGTGAAAGGCCGGGATGCCAGCCGTCCACCTGTGTCCCCCCCGTGTCCCCCCCTGTCCCCAGCGTGGGGTCGCCATGGCGCCCACTCCAGCACTGGCTCTCACCTCTGTGCTCCCAGGTGATCCGGGGTATGGGCGCGAAGGCCACCGCCGTCCCAAACACCAGCGCCAGGGCCGCGAGCAGCCCCCCGATGGGGGCATGCATCCTTGTGGGCAGGGGCCACCGGGCCTTCAGCAGCCAACACTCATGGGCAGCAGGAGGCTGCGGGGAGCAGGGGCAGCGGGACGCTGCTCAGAACTGCAGGGCCACGGCCGGCAGCACGGGTCGGAGCCACGGAGCGGCGGGGCGCCTGGGAAGCCGCATGTCCCTGCTGGCCGCTGAGCTGAGGGCACCCAGCAGCTCACCCTCAGGACCCGGCGTTCCTCAGGCTCCGGAAGGAAGCTACAAGACAGCGCAAGGAAAGGACATGAGGCCACCCGCCGCCCAGACTGGCTCCACTCCTGCTCAGACCCACAGAGGGACGTGGGGACGTGGGTGGCTCCTGGAGGGACAGCCTGGTGCAGGACCCAGGGGACAACGCTGGACTCACCAGCCCTTCCCCACAGCGGCCAGCCCCACAGCGCGGGACGGGCCCAGCCTGGTGTGGACAGCAGACCACAGGCAGTTGGCCGCCGGGCTTCCTTCCT